CACCCACATGATCAGGGGGCAGCAGGGCAGGCCCTACAAGGAGAGGTGGCGGGACCTGAACCTGTTCAGCCTCCACAAGAGAAGGCCGAGGGGGGATCTAGTGGCCTGTTACAAACTAGTCAGGGGGGACCAGCAGGCATTGGGGGAGTCCCTGTTCCCCCGAGCACCTCCAGGAGTGACTAGAAACAACGGTCACAAGCTGGCAGAGGGTAGATTCAGATTAGACATCAGGAGGCGCTACTTCTCTGTTAGGGCGCCTAGGATCTGGAACCAACTTCCAGGCGAAGTGGTGCAGGCTCCTACCCTGGGGGTCTTTAAGAGGAGGCTGGGTGAACACCTTGCTGGGGTCGTTTGACCCCAGTACTCTTTCCTGCCATGGCAGGGGGTCTGACTTGATGATCTGCTCAGGTCCCTTCTGACCCGACCAGCTGTGAAACTGTGAGAGAGAAAGAGAGAGAAAATGGAGTATGGGTTTGCCAGAGAGAAAGAGAGATCCTTCCTTGACTCCCAGAGGTCTGGGTTTGCCTTTCAGAAAGGAAGGGAGTCCAGTGGTCTCTTCTGGGTCCCTAGTTCTCCATATCGTGCCTTGCAGGACAGCTGTTAGTCTCAGAGCAGTAAGAGATCTGTGGTTTTGTGGCCTGAAGTAGGGTGCAGCAGATCAGGCCTGAGATGTATTGGCAAAGCTGAGGAAGGAAGGCTTCATAGCCCCTGCCCATTGCAGTGAAGGCTGTGGTTGCTTCCTTTCATGAGCATTACATCTCCTCTGAAGTATCTTAATTAAAGCTTGTCTTGCCTTTCCCATCTTAATGCCCAATGCCAAGCTTTCAGCACACCTTGTCAATCAGAATTACCTACACTGTCCCGAGGGAAATGATGGCAGTGCCATGGAGATACCCAAATTAGCTTTAAACTGGCAGGATCAGGTGCAGGTAGCAGTGCCGCTGTGGCAACCTGGAGCTTAGCATTGGCTGGTTCATCCCGAGTACTCCGAGCATAGGGACAGCATATGCTTTTGGGTTGGTCTCTTCCCATAGTGCTTCATGGAGGCTGGAGAAACCCATGTTCATAAAGAAAGCACAGGCTTTGCCAGCTCTTGAGAGAGGTCTGCTGACCATGTGTGACAAGAGCTTTCTTTACCACATGCCTCTTCTAGTGCAGTTCACAGAAGAGCCGTGCTGGGAAATCAAAGCAGAGCTCTTCATTAGAGCAGAATTGGACACGGGCACTCAAAACTCAGAGAGAGAAGACACAGTGAGACAAAATCCATCCTCAGACTGAAGTGGGGCCCATCTCGGTGCCCAGTTTTCATGGGCAAAGTTGCTTCAAGCTGAGGGCATGGTGTCAAGGAGTCCTATTTGAAAGCTTCCTCCTTCAGGCCCTGTTCTTATTGGCCCAACTCTTGGTTCCTCCATTTGTCTTTACTCTGGCTGATCTCGTTGTCAGTGAATGCTTGAGGCTGGGAACTGAATGTGCGAGGGCTGCAGGATCTGGCTCGTGTTATCCAATGCCCCCCAATCTCTCCACCCTACACCCCTGCCCCTACATGCAGGGTTGTTCCCTATAATACAGTGATCAGCCTAATGGAAAACATGGCCATCATTTCATGTTTGCTAAAAATACTCAATTTGGAAGGAATTAATTGCCTTTTAATTACCCAACATAGTTAGGGCTGATTCATTCTCATCTGATTCTTTCGCACTTAATAAGTGTGTCAGGTGTCTCCAAATGAACAAGATAATTGCTCTCCATCCTTCTCGGGACTGAAACAATGATGTCTCTCTCCAGCTGAGGAGAGCCAAGGAGCAGCACAAAGAGCAGCAGCTGCCTTTCCCTGAGCTATTTACTTTAGGCGCTTCCTACAGAACTGCTTGTCAGGTGCATTTACATCATCTTTGGAGGTCTTATATCATTTATGGCTAGTGTCAGGAAGCAGGAGATCCAGAGGAGAGTGTTTTCCATTAAACAGAAAGAAGAAGTTGGCCTGAATCTTCTTCCAGTGATTTCTGTTTTTTTATGGGCCGTTTCCAGCACATGAAGAGTTCACCAGGACACGGGACAGGGTTTAGCTTTCCTTAGCTGCTGAGCAGATGCAGGTCCACCACCCTTCTTCTAAGTCCCTCAGTCAATGCATTGTACACATTTCTTGTTGCCACTTGGATAGAGGCTGAAAGGATTGTTGCATTTTTGTGTTCGTAGGGGTTGGTGGGAATCTGGTTGCCATCCAGGCCAGCCGCATCTCCACATTCCTGCACTTCTGGAGTTCGCCTGGAGTCCTGCCCCACAAGATGAGACAGAGCTGGCCCAACCCATTTACCACCTTCTTCACATCAGGTAGTGCTCAAGCCCCACATGCCCACCTCAGAGCCCATTGTCCCAGGGAGCACCTTTGTCAGCCTGATCAGCTAAGAACAGAGTGGGTTTTGGAGACTGAACTCTCATGCTTAGACCAAAACCCCAGGCCAGGGTTGAGTTACCTTGGCAAGGGCTACCTTGAAGAAAGCTTGCTTTCAATGAGCAGTTCAGTACATGATTGAGAGACTTTAGCCTTCAGAGAATCTCCAACCAGTAATAAATTTGCTGAAGAAAAAATCATCTAGTGCAACTGCTTCTGATCTTGCTCATGCCATTGAAAAGTCTAGGAGTAGCTTGCTTCAAGGCAGGGATGTTACACTGGCATAAGGAAAATTGGAACCGGGTTTGTTATTTTTAGATCAGAGGCTCCTATTGATTTCCAGTGACAAGCCGTAGACTGGCAATAGGGCAGATTTAGCGCAAAGAAAGTGGGTCATAGTGAGGCCTTGTAGGAGCTGAGGGAGGGGATATGCAAGAGGGAGTAGTTACTGAGTAGCTCAGCAAGAGGATCTGGACAGCACTGAGCTACCAGCACCAAGTACCTACATCTGAGTACCCACATACAACATGGCTGTATGGCAAAATCAGTGCCAGGAGAAGCAGACAGAGGCCATCCCACAAATACTGTCCTGTGACAAAAAAGGCATCACTTCATGTTTAGCATCTGCAAGTATGCATAGAGTCCCTGTATGATAAATAGCTGCATGCTTCCTTCCCCCTCAAGCTGGAGCGCTCAGGTCATTGTATTTTATGTGCTCTGCAGGGGTGAATTCCAAGTCTGCCCGTGTCTTGTTCCTGCTGGTTATCCCAGGGCACCTAGTGTTCCTCTACACCATTCACCTCTTGCAGGGAGGCCACATGTCCATAACCGTCACATTCGTGATGTTTTACCTAACGGCTGCCTTGCTGCAGGTAAGAATGCAAAACCTGCTGAGCTGAGGGTGAAGCCATGAAATGCTCCTAGACTCTGAAAATGTTAGTGCCCCCAGTATTTGCAGTGAAAGACCCAGGAACTGTCCACTTGTTCCAGTCACCTCCCTCCTCCAGCCTCATCCAGTCTGTCGCCTCCCAAGCTCCCAATAATTAGATGTGGCATAAGCATCCCTGTCCCAAGTTTTGGATGCTTTATGGAGAACAGCCTGGTTCTGTTCAACTACTTCAGGAGTCATTATTTAATGGGCAGATAGTTATCACTGGCCACGTCTACACATGCAGTGCGCTGCGCAGTACCATCGCCACACACCTTTTTCTTGACACTACTGTGCAGTAGCAGTGAGCTACTGTGCAGCTGCTCATTATTACTGCGCAGTATCATCACTGCACAGCTAGTGCCCGGCAGTGCTACTGTGCAGTAGCAACGGGCTACGCATAGCATGTCGTGTAGATGTGCCAACTAAGTGTGTTTCCCTTTTTATTAGCCATCACAACAAAAGGCAGGGGAGCAGGTTTTGTGTCTGAGCTGGTAAACTTGCATGAGAATTTTGCACAGTATAATTAATGTGTTCGAGGGGGAACCTGGGCGCCTCTTTTAGGCTGAACTGTGGGTCAGAGCTGTGTTCTGTGATGGGAAAACCCAGCCCTGAAAGACTTCTGAGACAGATCCCACCATCAGAAGAAAAGCTACATCTAGGCCTAAGACAGCCAATGCCATCTCTCTCCCTCTATTTTTTCACTGTATCTCTTGCCATACAAGCCTCATCTTTCCACTTGGAAAGAAATGTAGCTGTCACTTGAAGCTCTTGACTCGTTCCTCAGTTTAAATCAATCAGTCATGGTCTTGCAGGGTAAAAGACTGAACTCTGCCTGTGAGTCCTCTGCCGACATAAACAACTGGCCTTGCTCAACCTGTCCTATCTTTTCCCTCAACCCCCATCACCATAGCAGCAGTTGTAAAAAAACCTAATATATATTTATTGCTCCCTCAGAGAAAGTTACAGAGGAGTTACCAGAATAATAGCAACGTTGCTAACAATGAAAGATAAGCCCAGCTGAAGGAAAAATCATGAGGCATGAGCTTTCCTTATTTTTTTTTATTTTGCTGCATTATGGTCTGTGAAGAAGGCCAGAAACGGGTGAGAGGATTGGCAAATCCTTTGGTTTCATTTGCCTGAAAAAATATCTATATATTTTTATGCCTGGGGTTTTTTCCCCCCTTAATGCCCCGCCCATGTTGTGCTGACGTATCCCCCATCCCTCCAGAGCTGGAGTTAGGACTCTTTCTCTGTATTTGAGTGGACTGTGTCTCAGTACTTGGTAGTCAGTAATCTGTAGTAAAAGTAATTCCTCTGCCAGTTTATGGGATGTTGAGTTAAATAAGAGTTTAAAAACATAAAAGTAACAAAGATTTTTAAACTGAATGAGATAAAATACACTTATTTTGTCAGTGCACTGGGATTTACTTGCTTGGTATCCCTGATGTTATGAAAGCCTACTAATTTTCTAGTTGTCCATAAAGACTGGCAGGAAAGTAAAGGTGGACAGTGTCCAAAGACAGAAGAGCAAAATACATCTGGTTTTAAAATTAACCTCAGGGACTGCCTGATTTCTGTTCCCCTACCCTAAGGCTCAGTCAGCAGCAAACCAGATTGGACCTAAAAAATGAAGGGGCCTTTTCTCTTTACTGGTGGCAGAACCTCCTTTCCGCAGCATGATGACAATCCATTTCAGCAAGAGGCACTGCATTTCTGCCTTGCGCCAGGCCCTCACAAACAGCTGAATCTGTTCTTTTTCTCTCTGCAGGTGGGAATCTTGCTCTATATGGCTGACCTAATTGTACGACTCATGTGGAAGAAGGCACTGGATCCAGATAACTTCTCCATCCCATACCTCACTGCCCTGGGAGATCTCCTGGGCACTGGATTCCTGGCACTTTGCTTCCGCTTGGTTTGGCTCATCAACGGTGCAGATATGAGCCTGGGAAACTAACAGGATCTGTGTTGCAGCATTGTGCCATCGCTGCTCTGCAAAGCCAGTCAGTCAATATGGTGCTTTAATACGGTCCAACAGGGTATGTAGAAATACCAACCAAGTCACTAAGCTGGAATGGGTATTGCATCTCTTCCCACCCTCCTGTTTGCCACTTCAGTGCCTTGCAGCTGTGTAATTCAAGTCCAGAGAATCGGTACCCATGTGGGCTTCTGCAGTGTTAAAGTGACCAAACCATCTCAACACACTGCATTCTGTGTATGCCTGTTCCTGGCAAAGGAGGGGGTGCGAGACTCTCAGGTCCTATCATGGTTTAGCAATATATTCCTATAGCAGCCTGGTAACTCCAAGACTCATACAGAGCCTGATGAAGTCGGTGGGAGACTTTGGATCAGATCCTAGAAGAGGCTGTTTCAATCGGGCTCCGACTGTCAATTAAAAAATATTTGCTGCCCCTCTTCTCTCCCACCCCAGCGGGGGAAAAAATTCAGTAAAGCCCTTAACGTTTCTCTCTCCATAATTCAGACACTCAGGGTCTGACGTGGCCTGTTCCTCATTGCATTACAGCCCATAGAAGGGTTGTTAAGAGCAGGGGCCTAACTAAATCAACCTGTCACTGTCTGATGAGAGGGATTTTTTGTGGTGGTTGTTTTCCAATTTAAGAAATACCTGTTCAGTAGTTTTATGGTTTATAGAAGCACACAAAAAAATAAAATGCAAAAAGTGCAGTGGTTTGGGGATTGTTTATTGCCATGATTTTGGCCAGTTAGAACTGGAAGTTGGCAGGCCAGGCTATTTTGATTAATTTTTCTTTGGGTTTTGTGGCAGGGATGGGAGTAAACTAAACCAAGACATTGTAATGGGCAGAGCACTTAGTTAGGATCCCTAACTCCTAGACATGCACAGCATGCCATCTGGCAGCCTGGGCTGTATTTCAGCTAGGATATAGAGTCCACCCCCCTCATTCACAAGCACTGTGAGCATCGCATTCCTGAGCCATGGTGATGCCTCTATAAATCCTTGTCATTTGTAGGGGTTTTGTACTCCCTTTTCCCAATGCAGAACAGGTTGTGTCAAGGCTAAGACGTCTGCTTAGAACGTGAGAGTGTGGGGTTCAGTTTGTTGCACCAGCACAGATGCCCTATGTGACTTTGGCTGGGCCAGTCATTTAGGACCATATGTTATAGGTACCTATTTCCCATAGAAATCACGGGTTAGTGTGCATCCCCCCAAGAGGGTGTGGATGTCTATGCCTGTCTAGCTCCAAGTACAAATTTTAGGTCCTCAAAATCCCTGCTCAGCTACCATCTACTCCTGAACACATCTACAATTCTAGGCACATGTAAACCCCTCAGGGTGCATAAGGATCTACTTGAGAGCGAGCACCTAAGTCCTGGCAGTGCTGAACAGCTGGGCACCTGACACCATGCCTGGACCTGTGACCTTACCAGGCCCGGCATCAGTGCCCTTCATTGCTCTATGCACGCTAACTTTGCAACCAGACAGAGCTGCATCCACGCTACTGAGTGACAGTGTTGATTAGCCCTCCTGCAGCACAGTGTAGATACGGCTGCACGACTTTGTGGTGGGAAGCTAATGTCTGCAGACCAGTGTGGCATCCTTGAGGGTGCCACTCCCATGTAGGACAAGTTTATGAGCTAGATGTGGCCTGTGGCCAGTCGGGATCCACAAACCAGTCATTTTCCGGCAGGGTATAAGCCAATGGGTATTTACATATCACACCTGCGCAAAACCCAGCCAGAGAACAGGCTGGTCCCTCCTTACCCCCCTGCCTGCTTCCTGGGCAGTGGTATTTCACCATTTGCTGCACGCTGTTGTCTAATCATGGTCCTTTGTGCTATTTCTAAACATCTGCTGCCACTGCAGAGTCAGCGCAATTCATTTCCCAACTGTGACAGACCACTAGCGGACATGCGTGGTGACTGCAACAGCAACAGCAGGATGAAAGGTCCTTGCACTAAACCGAGGCATGATTACCATGAACGATTCCAGATGGGCAGGAAAGGGAGGGGAAGTCATTATAAAAGTCTGCTTATGTGCTTGAAATCTGCATATTTTTAAAGGGAACTTGACACTGGCTTGAGAGTCTCTGATGAGCTGTGGGCCCCATGGCTGGGGCAAGTATCTCTTGTTTCTCTAGCCACATTGCCTTTCTAAGAACATCTTCCTCTCTGGTATTTTCCCAGTTGTGTGAGGCATATATCTAAGCTAGGCACATCCTTGCCTAGGTATAATATACCCCACAGTGCTTCTGCCACTTTAAGTGTGGTGGCATGGCTATAGCAGCCAAGCTGTTTTGTAGACACTGCTCTTTTGTACAGAGGCATTTCTTTCTGCCACCAAACTGCACCTGCTCCTCACACACAGCAGAAGCTCTGCCAGGAGACGCCATCTTTTGCCAACAGAGCTGTGTCCATGGGGGTTTTTTTTGTTTTTTTTTTGGTGGGGGGGGGAGCGGGGTGCAGTTGCTGACATAGTGACGCTGGCATAGCTTTATACCGTAAAATACATCCACACAGTGTAGCAGGGCAAAGCAGACTCCTCAGATTACCCTCTAAGATGAAGGAAGAGAAATAACTAAGTGGATGTTTTTGCGGCCCAAGCTATATATCTTCCTAGTGGGGAAAACCTAATTTTACACCAATACACCTACCTTTAAGGCCATACCTGCTGTTAGCTCTCTGGCATAAGTGAATTTCTCCCCCTAGCATTCTCCTGCCTTAAGCCTCGCAGGAACTGGGGAAAAAATAAAAAGCCTCTCTTACTACTTGCATTTCAAAAACAATAATTGGCACTTCTATTTTATTTCAGTAAGCCATTTAGCCAACTGCCACCTTTTTCTGGTTGTAAATACTGACGGCATACTCTGGCTGGAACACGTAATCAAGCCCAGCTGTGTCCTATTTACATGATCCTCAGGCACATATTCTACCTGGTGTATGATGTCACTTCTAGCGAGGGGGTTTGGCAATTCCAGATGTGTCCCGTAGTCCAAGGCCAGTATGGCTAAGCTACAAGTGACACCAATGCAGATGATGTTCTGGCAGGTACAGGGCCAAGCACTGCTTACACTCCTGCTGTACTGGCCAAACAGCAAATGGTTCCTTTTCCATATTGTTGGGAACACATTTGGGACTTTGAATCCAGAAAGATGACATAACAAGAAGAAATGGTTTCGATAAAAGGAGATGTTAAAGTGCATATAACGGCAGGTTTATCTGTTGCTAAATCTGTTTATTCTTTATCGGACTGTATTTCACTAAGGCTTCCAAAACAATTTAGCACTAAGGCAGCAGCAAAGCAGGTTGTTAATGTCTGTAACCAGAATTGAACACGGACCTCAAAGACGGTGGGGGAGGTAGGTGGGAGGGAATACCTTTATGCTATCCACAGACCTGAACAATGCTGAACTTTCCAATCATTCCTGGGTGCATGTATATTTGGATCACCTCAACCACAGTGCATCATTCCCACTGCCTTAAAGAAAGGATGTCTGTGTAAATGTAAGGATCATGCAGCTTTCACTGACTGATTTAGTTTCCCAGTGCAGTGGCCTATGCTATTCTGCTTGGTAAGAGGAGAGTAGCTTGTGCATGGTCTAGGGAATGCAAGATCTGATCAGCTCAAAGGTGGAAGACCTGAATGGCAATTTTGCCGAGTCTGCACTGGCAAACTCCCAGTAGCTGATTACATTGAGCTGCAGTGCACTGACCAAAGTGGTAGATGAGGACCAAGGACCCAGTACTTTCTGCAGCATGGTGTTACTGTTATGCACCCACATCCAGCACCCCAAAGATATTTAGTTGTCATCATGTTGGTCTAAGGACATAGGCAGGCAAGGTTCTTTGGGTAGATGTGATGTCTTTTATTAGACCACCTGAGTAGTTGGAAAAAAGTTCTTGGCAAGCTTTTGGGCACAGTTACTGTTCTTCAGGCATAGGGAGTCTCTGCTGGTCTGAGACTCCAAGGAATGAAAGAAGTTAAAAGTGTGGCAGGATGTCAGTGAGAATGTAAATAGGTAGAAATTAGACAGACAAAGGGTGACGAAGAGAGGTAAAGCAGAAGGGGAAGAGTGAAGGGGAAGAGAGCAGGGGAAAAAAGAAAAAAGGCTGAAAGGAGACATTATCAAATGTCTCCTTTCAGTGATAGAAATCCTTGTTTTCTATCATTGTAATGTCTCCTTTCAGCCTTTTTTTTTTCTTCTCCCCTGCGCTCTTCCCCTTTCCCCTCCCCACTCTGCTTTACCTCTCTTCTTCAGCCTTTGTCTTTCTAATTTCTACCTATTTACATTTTCACTGACATCCTGCCACACTTTTAGCTTCTCTCATTCCTTGGAGTCTCAGACTCCCTATGCCTGAAGAAGGGTGACTGCGCCTGAAATATCAACAAGAACTTTTTTCCACCTAGTCCATTGGTCTAAGAAAAGACATCACATCCACCCAAAGAACCTTGCCTGTCAAAGGTATTTATGCACCTACTTCCCACTAAAATCAATGCTTTAGATGCTCTAGCTCTTGAAAAGCTTTGGGAAATCACAGCCGTAGTAAGAAAATATAGTGACTTTGAATTACCCAGTGATCTTGTCTTCATAGTAGACATTCCCCTTCTCTGTGACACCACTGCATTGACAGAACTCTGTGTAGGAAGATTTCACAGGCTTGCCTGCATTTCGCTTCCCTTTTATTTATCCTATGAGGCATCTCACCAGTGGCAGAGGGCCTGATTCCCCACTGCTTTCTCCCGGTGTATTGACATGTGCATCTATGCAAAGTGAAGGTTTGACCGTTGTGGGATTTGTCACTTGTTTTGCACAGGTGTAAGTGGTGACACAAAGAAAGAGGCAGAGAGGAGTTAGGCCTTTTGGCATTGATGAAATGCTTCAGAGCACAATCTAGCAAACAGTCCAGCTGCAGAAATCCCAATGCCTGCTGTAAAGAGTCTCTGCTTGCAGTGCTGGCACCCTAGGAACCTCCTGAATAAATAACAGCAGTAAAAGCACAGAGAGCCTGTATTTAGTCCAGTCTAATCTTCAAAGAAGAACAATCCATTTTCCTCCCCATTTTTCAGCTTTTCTTGCTACTGGCCATATGCAGTAGCCTTTTGGCTACTGATCTCATTGTATGCCACAGATAACTGAGACACTCTGTGTAGAGCCGGTGGCTCTGGATTTAGTTGTATCTAATTCTACTTGTTGGAAAAAACATGGCTTGCTAGAAGCGCAAGATGAGCCATTTCTGATTAAAACAGAAAGCACTAGGCTACAGCTCCTCCAGTGCCTTTATCTCCTCCATTCATCTCCTGTCCCAACATCAGCAGATTGTAAAAAACAAAAACCTCTGTCCCCCCACCCCCAAAAACCAAAGCAGATACCAACACCTAAATTGAGAGAGAACTTATTCAGCCGTGCAAGTGTAACTGTCTCAGGCTGGGGAATATGGTGGTGCACAGAGTGGTGGTGCACAACCTTTTAGAGTGGTGGGCCTGGACCTGGGACCTTCTTACCCTCCAGTAGGGTAAGAAGGGAGGGGTGGGGGCTGGCAGCCTATGTGAGGAGGAGGGGGATGGAGAGCTGACTTTCAGTAAACAGCCTAAGGGAGGTAGACAGTAACTCGGGCCTGTTAGAGGGGAGAGGAGAGGGAGAGAAGCAGGGAAGCCTGAGGAGGGACAGTGTAGGTAGGTAGGGCAGGGGATGTGCTAGGTCAAGCTA